CTAAACTTACTTGATAAGCATAAGCACTTATAATATTAAAAATCTTAATATCAATGGTAATCTTAAGCGCTATAATTTTATCTCCAGCTCTATTAATTTTTATAACATTATCTTTCAGACTCTTATCTATAATTACACCTACACCATTTCTAGTGCGACTCTTACCAGAATACCAAAGTTTAAAACTTAAATTATCAATCTCCTTAGCATTTTCTCCAACCCACTTAGTTTTTTGAATACATAAGATATTAATTTTTCTATGAATCATAATATCAACTAATTCTATTAATTTACCATTGAGAGTATCTATATTTCATGATCCTATCCTAATTTTAATTTCATTAGTTTCATGGACCAACTTCTTTACCTGCATTCGCCCGTGATGTGGGAACCTTTGCTTATTTAACACTACACCCAGACGCCGGTGTATCGACCCTTGCTCACTTTGCACTGTATTCAGGCTATACAGCGCGTCGCTTTGAGGGGACGCCCTAGCACATACACAATGATCAAAAGGATTTATCTCATGATTTTTTTTCGATAAGTTTTACGCTGACTGTCGAATACCTAACGCAACCCTCCACTTTGGACATCCGGGCTTGAGACCGGCAATGGTTCAATGGTATTGGAATGAATTCTTAAAATTCTGTATTCTCTATTCTTTTTCATTTCTGGTTTTAAAATGAATACCATTAAGATGCATACATGAATCTTTCACTTTTCATTTACAACAGTGTTTAAAATGTGTGCACAATCTCACATATGAGGATATTCACCATTCATTACGCTACCTCTAGAATCATTTATTCTTTTTGCTAAATAGCCAAATGCAACTTCATTAGAGCTTTTGCCTCAGTGAGGGCAGTGGTAAAAATCTTCTCCAAGTTCCATTCAAGCAAGTTTTTTGCAATTCCCATCCCCACAACTAGGATAAAAGGTTAAGATCTATATGCCTCATTTTAGGTTTAAATTCTGAAAAATGTACAATGGCTTCACTTTGATATCATTGGAAGAGAGAAGATTGCAATTGGAAGTGCTAATCTTGATTAATAGAGTTGATATTCCTTCTACATTTGATATGTTGATAAAGAAGTTCTATATCATCTTTCTTAGCAATCCAAACACATTTGACCCTCTTCTTAATCCATTTGATTTCCTTGGTTTTAGCACTAACTGGCTTATTAAGATTTTGGATAACATTAAGAATGAGGTCTTTATCCATGGGATTGTTTTCCAAGTTTGAAGATATCTAGTTCCTGTTTCTCAAAGGATGAGATGGATTTAGCACTGAAAGAGGGGCTATTCCTTTTAGAATTTTTAAAGGCAAGCTTGACATCACTGAGTTTATTACAAAATAACAAAATCAGGGTCCCCTTGAGCAGGTTTGTCATGGAGTTTATTACAAATAACAAAAACAGGCCCCCCTTGAGCAGATTTGCTCTAACCGTTGAACATAATATCAAGGAAATTGTTTGAATGCCTAAAAATTTTTTGTAGTAGGAGGCATAAGGCCCATATTCACCGGTAAAGGTTGAGTGATTAGAGGATAAGGGTGTGCAAACCTTGTAGTATGTGAGGGTGAAATAGTTTAACTAGGCCATATTGTAAAACAATTGGTCTTGCAAGCATGTTTGAAGATATTGTAAACCTTGTAACTGCCTACTACCATCGACCACTGCCTGCAAACCACCATTGACCATAGCATGTTGGCATTACCCATTGTTGCCAACCACCGGCTGTTAGCAGCAGGCAAACATTGCTTGCTGTTGTTGTATTTCAAATAAGGTTGTTATGTTTAACACTCATATTGAATATTCGATGAATAACCACTGGTTTTCATGACCGACGACCACCATCAACCGTCACAACTTATCATCGTCGATCACCGACTGCCGTTGTTTACGACCATCATAGTTAGACTGCAACTGTTGTTTTTAATGTTTGCATTTTCTTTACCCCGTATGAAGTTAAGTGTTATTTATGGTATAAAATTGTAACCCCGTTCTCCCTGTTCTAAGAGGAGATTCAACCACTGATTACAACATTTATGGCTAACTACTGTCTTTATAAGAACCAATTACGATCTTTGTGGCCGACTACTGCTAATATAACTTTCAACTATGATCTTTGTGTTCAACTGTTGTTATTACAGTCACCGACTACAACCTTCATGACCAACTATAATCTTTATAGCAACCAATTATGATCTTTGTGTTCGATTACTATTGTAGTCCATTTCTTACCTTTGTAACAACAAATTACAATCTTTGTGACCAACTATTATTGTTGCAACTTTCAATTATGACATCTGTGACGAACCAATATTATTGCAATCATCGTATTATTGTTGCAACTTTCAATTATAACATCTGTGACGAACCAATATTATTGCAATCATCGATTACGATCTTTATGACCAACTTCTGTCTTTATAGCAACCAACTACTGCTTTTATGACTAATTATTGCTATTACTGCCAAAAACCCCATTTTTGTAACTCAATTATTACTATTATAACTAAACTGTTATTGTATATCTGTGATTATCAACTTTATAATTTTATCTTTTATGCATGTACAATTATATAGTGAATTAATTTGCACGTAAAAATATTGTTTTATCCTCGTACCACCTTTTTTTAAAATTTTGTGTTAAATCTTGGTGCAACGCTAAGAAATTAAAATACTACTCTACCGTTAGTTTTTCGGCACACAATAGTTAAAAAATCTGATCATACATCAATTCAAGAGCCGAAATTTGACTGGGGGTTGAACTAAAGGTTGATCTGATGATATAATCAATATTAAATTTGTTTAAATATGATTCAAAATGATACAATCGAGAGAAATATATTATGAAAAATAAGTCATAAAAATATTGATTTTTAAATGAGCATTTGAACAGCTCATTAAAAAGCTTGATTAATATTTGACATAGAACTCGTTAAGAAATTTGATTAACCATTAATTTTATACAAGTATTTGTTTGTTATAAATATCATAAAAATATAAATAAGTTTATATATATATATATATCAATTCCCGCAACCCAATTTTCGTTTCTCAACCCAACCCAATTCTCCGTTCTGGTAGCTATTTACATCTTTTATTTAATCGCACATCTTAGGAGAAAATTAATATTATGAATTTAAAATAGAAAAGAAAGAGCCTTAGAATACTTATAACGCATGTTGCTTATTTCATTATTAGTACCTTTAGAATTTTTTTTTTCATTATATATGGAATTTTTGAAAAGCTTTAAAAATTAAAATATTTTATTATAAGCTCAATGATTTTTATTTTAATCAATAATTTCAACATGAAAGTCAAATCGGTCGGTTTTATAAAATTTGGATCAGCTCAATTGGTTCCCACTGGGTTCATTGCCAGGTCGGTATTTCGAGGCGATCCAGTTTTTTAAGTCTAATCAAACCGGGCATAGAATCAACTGAACTGATTGAAGTGACTATAATGTAACTTTATTCTTGGAAATAAACTTCTTGCAATGGAGATAGGCAAATTCACATTAATTCCACTGGGGTTTGCCTTTCTTAGAATCAAGAGGGGATCTGATCGTGCCAACGGTGGGGAGCTTCAGGTCCGTTGCAAAATTCGTTTAAAAAATTTTGGGTTTGCTATGTTCTCCACAATTAGTTTGTCTAGCATGGTCAACGCTTCTACTTCTGAAAGGCCTTACATCTTGTTTATGATAAGTATATGCTGGGTTTAAAGGGTAATTGTTTGAGTCCTATGCAAAAGTATCACAAATAGAGCAAATATTCCATTCATAAATCACTCTCTCACAAACAAAGCAAATATTCCTTTGAGATGTCACTTTCTAAAAGATTTCCTCACCATTGATAACCACAGAAATATTTTCAGGGAAGCTGGAATTAAGTGCTGATTGGACACTGATACAAGCAAAGGTAAGTCTTAATTTGGGAGTCTTGAGAGAGTCAGTCATACTGACAATTTTTGAGATTCAACTTTCGTTCCAATAACATAAGGGGTAAGATTTTCTCATGCTGCCAAGCACAAACTTCTATACTTTGGCATCCAAAATTTACCGAATCTGAAAATTTTGCATAAATGGTTTTTTACAGAATAGTTTGTATCTTATTGGAAGTGTAAGGATTGCGTTTTGTTATGTGCTTACTTGTGCATCAAATAATTGATGATCAATGAAATGGGTTTGGGCTTGTGGGAACACCTAGCCAAATTGTTGAAAGATATTGTAATTAGTGAGGAAGAATTGATCGGCAGTGCACCGGGTGTAGGTGAGTTGGTGGCGACTATGCTCAAGTCCCCTCTCGACCAGGGTTCGAATCCTCGATCAAACGGGATTTGAATTTGCACATGGGATTGGTTGGGGGGTCCACCCTTTGGCCAATCCATTAAAAAAAAATGGCAAGGAATTTTAAAATTGAGCTGCAAGGGAAGATATGAAAGATGGGGAATCTGTTGGTCAAACTCTTTCGCTTTTTTTGAACATGGGTTGGATCCCATCACCTTCTTGCGCTTGATCGGAGTTGCTTGTGATTTTCTAAGGCGGACAGAGTACGGAAATTGCATGACTGAATCTACAATTCCCTTCTCTGATTTATGATCAACAAAAGCTGGCGGCAATGCCTATAGTCTTTGTCCAACATAACTGCCATTTTTAATTAGCATCCATTGAATTTTATCACTTACTGCTTGCTTTTTAGTTTCATTTCCGTTTTTAGGTTGAAAAACTAGGGTGAACTTAATGGTTTTATTTTGGGACCTTTACATACCTACCATCCAATTCCTATGTATGTAATACATATGTAACACATGAACTTTGTTTTTTACATTTATACTGGCACGTAAATCTTTCATATCACATAAAAAATACATTTTTTTCAAACTGGTAAGTTGACATGGATGTAAAAATTGAAGTTTTGGTGTTAAATGCATGAAAACTGAGTGGTACATATGTACATCTTCCTTTTATTTTCACAATTTTATATTTTCTGGTAGGATCCTGCCGACAAGAGGAACATCATTTGCGACGATAAGCTTAGAGAACTGTTCCAAGTCGGCTCATTTAATGGTTTCACGGTTACAAAGTTGCTGGCAGCTCATTTTGTGAAGACAAAATAGTTATTTACTGACAGATCTGCCATTATTTTGAAGGGCGATTGTGCAATTTTGTTTTGCTCCTGTGGCTTCAGCTTCCTCTTTTGTAGACAAAGAGGCATTAGCCGTTTTCATCTTAATTTGTTATGAGAGAATGAGAATGAAATTTCACTTTTAATTTTACTTGAGTTAGGTGCTACTATATTTGAGTTAGGTGCTACTAGAGTTAGGTGCTACTATATATATATATATATATATTAACATCTATACTGTTGCAAGTATATTTCTTCTGCAATTTATGGAATTTATAGGGTCTCATCAGAATTTTCATTTGGAGCAGCCATCCCATGCAAGTATTCTGAAGCTGTTTTTGAGCCAGACTCGTGCTATGTGGGTAAATTGTACAGAATTCCTTAAAAAAGGGAAATTTTACATATCTAACAGTGATTCTTATGTATTTACATGTCTAGTACCTAAATTTCCATTTTTGCATATTATCACTCTCGAAGTCATGCTCAAGTGAGGACGAGGTGGTTTAAAGAGAGATTTTTGGATGTCTCTTGAATGTGATGCAATAATATCACATATTATTTTTTTTTATATTTCTACTAGCCAAAATTTACGTATAACATAAACAATATCACTATTTAAAAGTAAATTGGCATTTAGGTAAAAATTGCATTTTGGATGTTAGACATGTAAATACATAAGAATTGGGTGGTATGTATGTAAGTTTTCCCTAATTTATCCCGTCGAGAAATTGGGATATGGGATAGACTTGGTATGATCTTCATGATAAGGTCTTGATAAGCCCCCTTAAATAAATCTGCCTAAGAAATTAGTTGCAGTTTATTTAATTATGAAGCCTAACAGTGGTAAAATAATCCTCCTAATGAAGAACTTTGATATGATTAGCATAAATTTCGAAGCACTTAAATATGTTGAAGTATTGATGAGCGAGGAGACTACTGGGATTCAAAAAAAATGTTACGGCTGGAGTCCGGAAGCAGGCTGCGTCCAGAAAATAGAAGTGATACATCAGGGCGGAGCGGGAACTCAGACCTTTACTGTATCACGTCAATTGTTCGGACGTAGCTCATGTCCGGACGCAGCTCACGTCCGAACTCCGTAATATTTTTTCTCGGATATGGCATGCAGAGCACGTATACAATGTTTTTTCAGCCAAAATGAGCATTCATACCTGATAACTTGTAATTTAAAGTATTTTGGCTATGTCTAAGTATTTATCCATTTTATTCACGTTTAAAGTATGATTCTGGAGTTAAATTTGATAAGAAATTGCGATAGAGTTTATGTGATTTTGGTGGCTATAGTTTATGTGGTGCATGCAATAGAGGAGGGTAGTCTTATGTCAAAGAGTTATGGATGGAAGATGACAAATGGTTATGTTTTCTAGTGTAATTAACATGATGTGATGTATACTGTTATCTAATGAAAAAAAAATCACAGATAATTAGTTTTCAATAAATAAAAATAAGTTCAAATTTTTTTTTTATATGTTTAATAGAATTGAAGTTTTGATAATGGTCATAGATATTGAATAATTTTAGTAGTGATATGCATCAACAAAGTTCCATCACCTGACTTGAATCTAGAAACATATCATGAATATTGGGTAATTTTTTGAGCTAGTAAGGTTCAAACTATTAATTAAAAGTTTTCTAGAATTTTAATTTCCGTAAACTTAGGGTTTAGGGGCTTGACGAGACGGATCCAAAGGTACCAAAAATATTCCCAATTTAACATGTTTACAGTCAAATCAAGCGTTTCGACAAGACGAACACAGCAAGCCTAGATCTCTAGACATCATTAAGTCACTTAAATGTTCATTGAACACTGTCGATCGAGAAATCCTCTCCAGGTCATTCGATGGAGTGACTCAAATTCCTTCCTTATTTGCAACTTGAACTCTATAAATAAATCCCACACGGAGCTAAAAAAAGATTGAAGCTTAGAGGAGCTGGAGTCCAACATCATTTTTGCACTACAGATTCGCCGAATACCTCTCTGACAACCATCACCAGCCGTTGCCTCTGACCAACTCTAGTGTCCGCAACCAATCGATCTTTCTAATCTATAAAAGATTATGTTATTAGATCTCCTTTAAGTATGTTATCTAATATCAATCTTGTTAATATAAACACTTTTTAATATACAATCATTAGATTTAATATTTTTCATATAAGTTTACAATCTTACTTGAAGAGACTTGAGTGGAAATGAGCAATATAACCTTGACATCAAAGAAAATATTAGAAACACTTAGAATAATATCTTTCCATTACATATTCTAGCCATGTGCTGTAAACGATTGAGATATCAAAGTGTGATAATCATGTTGGGCAAATATAGTAACTTGAAGATGGATAGCTACAAGAGTTTTATCATTTGGGCTGGAAATGAATCAAATCGAGTGGGACGCTTGAGTTTACTTATAAAATTCGAGCTCGAGCTCCTAGAATTTTGTCAAAGCTTAAGTTTATTTATAAAATTTAAGCTCGAGCTCTTAAATTGAGTTTTTTATGTTCATGTTCAAGCTTGGTTCATTTGTCATTTTGACCATTTGAGCTCCGTTCATGTTCATTTTATATAATGATAATCAAACTATTATCAAACATATGAATCAATAATATTATCAAACTACTTGATATCTAATTGAATGATCTTTATCAAACAAATTAAAAGTAACGTTATCGAGCTATTTATTTTCCAACTAAATTAATCTTAGGGTCTGTTTAGGGCAGCTGCAACTTATTGAATAATCTGATGATAAGCTGATTAAAAATAATATGAAGATAAGCTATGTGCAATGAATATTACAAATTTTTATTTTGTTTAGAAAAGTCAGACCGCTGTCAGAAAGTTGTCACCACACTTATATTGGTGCGATGTGAAAACGCTGTTTTTGACGTTTTGAAAACGCAATTTACACAAACAGACCAGATACGTTTTCAAAATGTCACCGCACCAAATAAGTAGCCCCAAACGGACCTTTAGTGAGCAAACTAATGAGTAGCATGATTGAGCTACTTATTTTCTAATCAAATAATTTTATCGAGCTTATAGAACAATTGTTTGTTGAACTTAAATTAAAATGCAAAGTATGTTTAATTGAATGATCAACTACATCAATATTTAGAATGAGCGTATAAATGCACATAATAAGCACAAAACTAAATAAGTTTTATCTTGTTGTAGGTATTATGAATTAAAATTTTAATTTAATTTAACATAAATGAGTTTTAAATTAAATTTTGATTGAGTTTACTCATATGTTTTAAATTAAGTTTTAACTAATCTTGCTCACAAGTATTAAATCGAGCTTATTTGTTAGCTTGTTCGTTCGCTTTAAATGAAAGTGTTCATGGAGCTTATTAACAAGCTAATTTGCAGACTTTAAATGATATTACTTGTGAACATAAATGAATTTAATAATGAAGTGTTCAACTTTGTTCATTTATTAATCAAGTATTTATAAAACTGTTCGAACTTGTTCAATGATTTAAATAAATGAACATAAACGAGCACTTTTCAAGCCAAGCTACAAGTAGCTTATCGATTAGTTAATCAACTGAACATAAACGAGCACTTATCGAAAACTCAACTTATTTTACAGCATTATTTATTACAATTGAAAAGAATATATTATATAGTTGAACAAGCTAATGCAAAGAAATTCAGAGAGCAACTTACCATCAAGATAATACAATGACAAATGTCACTATAATTAGAGAAAACATTAATATAATATTGTGCATTAATTATATGAGGTACCTCTTATGGTAGTGCTTAGAGATGCCTTAAGGCTTCGCGTTGTCATTAAGAGACAATTAATTATTTACTTAATTAATGATGGTGATGATATGCATTGACATTGGTCATAAGGATGGCAATTATTGTCATCCTACTTATTAAGTGTATATATAAAAGTATGTCAGCACAAGTCTGAAAGTAGATGAACGGCTCAGGAAATGGATGCAGACGATCAAACATAGCCTTCGATGATCGTTTTAGATGAATGCCGGCGAGAAAAGTACATTGTTCGAACGAACGACAGAAGACGCCAGGAGAAGCTCGCACATGGCGGCAGTCAGCCTTCAGAACGATTGACGAGGAACACTCTTTCAGCTAAACATCTATCGAACAATGAAGGAGCCAATACAGCCCTCCGACAAGAAAAGGTTACGCGGAAGAAAACCAAATATTTTAACAAATACATACGCAAAGAGAAGTTTGCCCCAGGGGAGCTGGTGCTGAAGAAGACTGACTTCGCGGCTAGGGAACAAGCTATCGGGCAGCAAGATCAAACCTGAAATGACCCCTACATCATCCACCTGAGAACTGAAACTTGGGTGTGTTTCCCGGACACCTTGCGATTCAACATTAAGCAAGGTGGGAACTAACCTTGCTAGAGCATCTATTGTCCACAATGATGTATATTAGCATTGGTAGGCAAAGCTTTAAACTTTTTTATTCACCAAACTCCCATTTGTAATTAATTTTCAGGTCTTCTTAACATAATTAGGCAGAGCTTCTTCATTAATTTTGACCAGAAATTTGGAAACTCCATTAGACGATCATAGTTGGTCATCTTTGATCATATATTAATTTTTTTTATGACATTTTAGGGTTACAATAAATCATATTACAGTAGTCGAGAATGTCAATCGCACCACGCCGCTATGCACATAGCCGTCGGTATGCCCAGACGACAGACGTAATATGCACGCCTTCGTCGGTATGCCCAGACAACAGACGAATGGAGAGAAAATTTACACAATTATCTGTTACCATTAATTCTTCCAAGCGACTGCATGTAAATTTCTCAGATTCCTCACCTCAAGAAAAGTTGTAAAGTAGTGAGATATTCTTCAATTGACTATTTATGTTCCGACGAATTATTTGAGGAATCTAGTAGGGCTGTCAAAATGGCTCGTTGTTCGCGAACAGCTCGTGTTCGGCTCGTTAAGAAGCTCGTGTTCGGCTCGTTAA